ACTTTAGGGGGTTGCTACATTTGGGGAGTCGTTACTTTCAGAGACCAAAAAAGTTATACAAATTTGATGCAACTGAGCTTTTTTAACGAAACATAAGATGGCAATTCATCTCAAAACGAAGTAAAATTCGTCATGTTCCAGTTTCATGTTACTAGCATGGGGTGGCCTCTACATGTCTACAACGTACATGTTGTCTGTTGTAGGCACAAGTTTCTCCCGCGGAGTTCTTTTTTTTTTTGAGCCCTTTAATCACGTTCCTTTTTTCACAGTGACATCATAGAAACAAGGAATCTCTATTCCTCCTCCTTAAACTCCTTGCGCCCACACATCCTCAGGCGCACTCCTGCTTTGACCGGACTACCGCATGGGAGAATCAGCCGATTTTTAAATTTTTGAACCGTTTCCGTTATTAACTACGTTACGGTTGAAAATGACATGAAGGGTTTTAAATTTTAATGCGAAGAAAAGTTCTTTTTCCAGTTCACTTGACAATTGATTGGAGGAATAACATACCGTTGTACTAAACCTTGGTCTGATTATTTTTGGCGAGAAGGTGGGGTTGGCGTGCTTCTTTCGGTAGGGTCGCTACTTTCGCGAGGTCGCTGCTTTCGGAATTTCCAAGAGGCAACGATTTTTTACGTTACTTCGGCGAGCTGTAAACAGATTTCATTACATCCCTGCACTTAACAGTCATACAGATGGGCCATAAACAGTCTAATCTGTAAGATAAGCCATCAACAGATATGTCTAGGTTTGAACGCTAATGAGATTCAAATTTATTATGATAAGCATCACAAAGTGTCCTCATTGGTAATATGTCACTAAAACACACACAATTCTGTCAAATATGAAGTAATATGAAAATGTCAAATAACCCTGCCAAACATGAAGTACCAATTAAACAATAATTGCGTTCAATCCTGAAAAATTAGTGGTAAGATGGGCCATCAATGGACTAATCTGTAAGATAGGCCATCAACAGACAAATCTGTAAGATGATCCATCAAAAGACTAACCCGTAAAATGGACCATCAACAAACTAATATGTAAGGTGGACCACCAACAGACTAATCTGTAAGATGGGCCATCAACAATCTAATCTGTAATATAGGCCATCAACAAACTAATATGTAAGATAGGCCATCAACGGTCACCGAGTGTATCTAATTGTCGAGGGTCGAGAGTCGAGGGTAACATGTCGAGGGTTGGTTAGTTAAAAATAAAAAATAACTAAAAATAAAGGGAAAAATAAAATAAAAATAAAAATATATTATATATGAAATAACTTACTGAAGAGATCAAGACAGAATGCTCTTTCGCCAGCTTTTCTTTTTTTTTTTTTTCAGAAAAGCGCTGCGTGACACGGCCAAATGACCTCCCGGATCCCGCTCCTTATAGTTTTGGGATTTTGGGAAGTGATACCAACAGCGCTGTCTTTACTGTCACACAAACGTAAACTCTCATCAGAGGAATGCAAGCTAACTTTCATTTCTCGATTTTCACACTTATTATCTCCTTTTAGGACTGTAGAACATTATTATAAACCATTAACTATCTTTGTTTTCATTGTTTTCGTGCCGTCTTCTAATACTCGCCAAGCAAATAAAATTAACGTAAACGCAGTGGATTGAAATAGGGTTGTTGGTATCACCCCCCAAAGTCCAAGGACTATAAGGAGCGGGAAGTCATTTGGCCGTGTCACGCAACGCTTTAATTCTGTCTTGATTTCTTCAGTAATTTATTTCATATATACTATATTTTTATTTTCATTTTTTTATTTTTCAATTTATTTGTGTATATTTTTTATGTTACCCTCGACTCTCGACCCTCGACAATTAGATACACTCCTGTATGATGGGCCCTCAACAGACAAATCTGTAGATGAGCCATCAGCAGACTAATCTCTGGGATGTGCCATCAACAGTCTAATCTATAAGATAAGCCTTCAGCCCGGACTAATCTGTAAGATGGGCCATCAACAGTCCAATCTGTAAGATGAGCCGTCAGCAGCCTAATCTGTAAGATGGTCTTATCTGTAAGATGGTCTTATCTGTAAGATGAGCCATCAACAGTCTAATCTGTAAGATGAGCAATCATCAGACTAATCTGTAAGATAGACCATCAACAGACTAATCTGTAAGACGATCCACCAACAGACTAATCTGAAAGTGAAGAATGATCATCGCAGTAAATTTCCCAATTTAAGTAATTGGAAAGAAGCCTGAAAAAAAATCAGGGCTTCAACGGGATTCGAACCGGTGACCTCCGCGATACCGGTGCGATGCTCTATCAACTGAGCTATGAAGCCACAC